GGGGGGGGGAGGGGGGAGGGGGGAGGAGAGGTTGTGATGGCGAGGCCTTCCAAACGGAGACAAAATCCACGTAGGCTTGACCGCCACGGAAGCGTATCGACATCGCCGGCGAGTCCGCGGACGGCTGTGTCAACCATATAGGGAACCAATGGTGCCCCACCCCGGGGATATCATTGGAGGGTTTCAAAGAGCTTCGGAGTACATGCTAATGTATTCGGTACGGGTGTGTGCGGTGTCGAATTATGCACCGCAGCATGCTGTAGGAGATATCTTCCGTAAGCGGGGAATCTCGCATTACACACAGTACCCAAAGACGCATTCACTGCAAGTAGAACAGGCAAAATCAAGAACCACCAGCGCCCTACAGTAATCACGGAGGTCAGCAACACATACACCCAGATCCAACACATGCAACACCCCATTCTCGTAACAGCAGCCGAGCGTTTGTTTTCGAAGCCTTCTACACAGACCGCCCGCGAGCGTTCTCAACCACCCGTCAAGAAGTAGCAGTATCCGCGAGCTTTCCAACTGCCCATCATCGAGAAGCAGCACCATCAACGCCAACGCTACCACCACCACCACAACAAACCCGCCATGGTGGTGTGGAACACCCACCCGATAGCGCTGAGCGCAGGCCGCGTCTTGGCGCAGATCAACAGCCCCCCGGTGGCCTTGTCGAGCCTGTGGCAGTGTAGCGGGCGGTGCAGCGGGCGGTCCTTGCTCTTGGTGGGCGTGAGCATGTAGGGGAGAGCTTGTCTCACGCTCCTCCTCCCGCCGGGCCCTGGGTCGTCTTCCCCGGTGCCCCCGTGCACCTGGGGAGTTCCACCGCATGTGTAATGAAGGGTAACATCCCCAACATGGTTCAGAGAAGAAGCGCCTTGTTGAAAACAATAGAAAATGTGCATACGTACAATCACAGAAGACTATCCTTTCGAGATACAACCACAGCCATTGACTTGGTAGAGATGCACATGGCGATGCCCCCAAGAGTGCGTACCCGAAGAAGGACAAGAGGCGTGAGATCTTCAATGTAAAAAAAAACGTCAAAGGCGAAAATAACGACGGCAACCATGGGAAGTCTATTGTAGCCCGAGCCCGTACAGAGCGTTTATGGCAAAGGGCAAGTCTTATACTATACGCTCGTGCCGGTACTCACCGCGACCCCTGCGGGCTTGATGATGACCGCAATGAAGTCGTCCTCCCACAAGATCTGCGCGGAAAGATCCGGCGACAAAGGACCAAGCCAGCACCATAGAGGAACAGACGTCGGGCGTACCCATTCGATGAAACGGTAACGCAAAACCGCGGTCAACATCAAAAGGTGCAAGAGGCGTCGGAAGCGTGAACCTCGACGTTCGAAGTCGCCCCGCCCGCTCGGCCTGGGCAACGTGCAACGCGAACTCTGTCGGAGGAGTACCAACGCAAGAGTACACCAACACGAGAAAAACATTTGTGGCACGCAGTTCGCTGATTGGTCAACGCACCTGCGGCGGAAGCCCGAAAATTCCAAAAAAAACAGGCACGACCCAAGATACTTGTTTGGCGGGTGGCGTCATCCGCGGTGAAATCGAAGATGGCACCTCAGGAGATCTTGGGAGAGTCGTGTCTTCTGATGATGATCTTTCTGCAAACTCATCATCATCTCGGATGACTACGAACGGGGATGGATGGAGATGGATCCGCCGGCCGACCGATCCGCGTTTGGTTTTGTGTGGGGATCGATCGAAGGAATTTTCTTCTGCTGGTCTTCTAGTCTAGTCTACATACACACAGGCCGGGCGGAGAATGTTGTTGTTTCTATGCTGCCTCTCGCCCGCCATCATTCTTGCGTTGACTACTCGTCGTCCTTCCTTTCAGAATACAGCACGCAGTTTGTATGACAGAGACCTCTGGGTGAGTGACACGTATACAACATACGTCTCGCTCCGCCGAGAGACATAAAAACAACAGAGAAACGCCAGGAGAAGGTTCGACACGAGATTGACAATTTGAAAAATTGATCCCAGCGGCTCTGCCTGATGCGGAATTCGGTGGCTAGTCGAACAGCAGTATTGACTCACACAGCAGCAGTAGTAGTAGGCTGGACATTTTCGACCCTCACGCACCGCGCCTCTTTCTCTTCTCTGTTTTCTGGGACTGCTGCTTCGAATCCGGCGGGGCCGCGGTGCTCCCCGCCACTACTACTAGAATGACTACGCGCACGACGATTGATCCCGCAGCGGACGGTAGACAGACAGACAGAAGAGACAAAGGGATCCACCATAGGCATCTCCACACACACACACACTTACACACGCGTGACTCACTCACAGAGCCGGCAAAGAAACACAACAAACATTTGCATTTGAGCCACCCCATTCAAAATTTCAGTGGAACAATGGAAGTGATCGCCGTCACAACCACCACGAACACAGGGATCTTTCGCCGTGGTTGACGTTCGTCCACAATCGCCGACTTTTTTTTTGTCGTCCTACTTTAAAGTAAAGTAAAAATAATGCTCCGACATTACAAAAAGAGGCGCTACTACGCCGCCGCCGCGGCTCCGCGGCCCGAATACCGGTGGTGCTCCGCCGAGCAGGTCGACGAGGCCGCTCCCCTGCCCCGCTCTTGTGGTCCTGTCCACGGCTGAGCTTGCAAGAGGTTACCAACGCTCCCGCTTGTGTTCTAGGTCATACTCGTCGCGGTTTGCGATTCCCAAGAGGTATCGGAGAGCTCTCAAAATGGGAGTCTCCAAGAGTGTAGCTTCAATTTGGACAAGCATTTCTACGCTTCAGGAACTGACTCGGGCGACGGAGATAGCGACGCTGGCCATGTCATCGCCGGGGTGCTAGGGCTGGGCATGGGGTACAGTGGAGGTCCCTAGTTAGTGCCGGCCGCTCCGCTGTACCGGACCGGAACTATCCAAAGTATTGAGAGTGACTTAGAATTCAGTGTGTGCCCGCCGAAAACATCGGCACAAAACACACACCTCTACTGTACGGGTATCCCGCCCGTTCTTCTCCCTCTGTACTACTGCGAGCTCTCACCGGCAGAGTGCACGAAGGCTTCCCTTGCGGGAACAGTCCCGGCTGAGTTCGTTTCTGCATCGTCACAGTGTCCCCGGGGTTGACCTACGGGAACGACAAAAAACAAACAGAACAGGTCGAAAGGAAAGCTTGTGCGCGCGATGCCACCACCAGCAACCACGAATCGAAAGCCATGTACTTCGTGATTCGCGCGATAGTGTCTCGATGGAGTTCCCGGCCCTCTCATCCTCTCCACACGCTCAGCGCCAGCACCATACGTGTCCACCCGAAATGGTAGACATAACGCATTAGGAATCCGGCTTCCAAAACCCGATCCCTTAGGCGAAAACGCACACGTATGCAAGCGCTTGACGACCGGGTGCTGTGGTAAGGTCGCACAAAAGAAATTACCACCACACCTTCGAATCGTTCCGGACCTCGGTCCCGTTAAGCAGCAGCTCTTTTCTCCGCACAGCTTTCCTGGCGCTTGATACGCTCGGGAAGTCGTCTCGGTACTGATCGCGCACACCATCCGAGAGCAGAACGGATACAAACGTGAGAGGAAGCCACGGGTGGAAGGGTCACGAGCAGTCACCACAGGAAATGGCGGCGTGACAGGGACAGCAGTTACAGGCCGCGGAAATCATCAGCAGCGTCCCAACAAGACGCAGAAACGGTAGAGTATCGAGCCATCCGGTGTCACACACTAACGGTGCCAGGAAAACCTGAGCCGTGTTCGACAGCGTTTCCATCTGTTTTCGATTCTCGCAATACTCCAGCTAGTCTCAGGGTCGTATGCCACGTAGACGATTGTTCTGGGCATCGAGCGAGGGGCTCAACGCAAGTCCTGCGTTGGATCGCGCGTGATCCAGCAGTGGGCCGGGCATACACCCTACGTTGTTTGCCTCAACAGCTTCACTTAGTTTGGCCCCGCATCTGCACCATTCCAAGTTGCTCTCGCGGATACACCTCCACCACGCGGTTTGGATGTGGTTCGGGTGATCTTTAACAAGGGAGCAAGAAAAGGCGCGCAAAGTGTAACACCAACAGAGCAAGCACAACGAAAGATAGAGAAGGTGCCGTAGCAGGTAGCCCGGCTAGGAGGCCTTAACAACGCCGCGCTGGGAGGCCAATCATCTTGTCATGCCTAATTGGCGGAACAATTTCACAGCCAACAAGTGTTGCTAGAACACAAGAGACATGCTCGGTATCGGTACAGAGTCGATTTAGCCTGCGCAAGCCCCCCCACTCCACGCCCCGCAATGCCAGTGGTCGAGTCTGGTAGCGACTTGAACGGGTACACCGGTGAACATGGGTACCTGGGCATGCATGAACTGGTAGATGAGCATAGGGTACCCTTCGTCCTCTCCCTCGGGCAGATTCGTCGGGGCCTCGTCCGGCACGGCGTACTCCTGAACGGGAACCGGAAGCCACCGTATCCACGTGCATTAGGAACGCGTTTCGACTGCAACTATTGAAGACAATGCAGCAGCACTCTGTCGAGTGCATGTGGGAAAAACATCGTTCAGTCGCGGCAGTGAGACAAGCGGTACACGATAGGGTGGAAGCTGTAAGCAGCACTTCCACACAAGTCGTGTGCTGTTTGCTAACCCATGCGAATTTTGCGTCTCCTTCGGCAATCGATCCCCACGTGGAATACCACCCCTTTCGAACCTCTACCCACCAAGAGGTGGGGACCTCTCATAGGCTGAGGAAGGCTACGGGTTATCTCCCCCTGGTTTGCTGCGTGCGGCTGCAGCCCAAACGTTCCCAAGCAACCCAATGGGTTGTCGGCAGCAGACAAGAGTCGTGCCCGCGCAGCCCGCTCCCTCCGGAACGGGCACAACATCTAGACGGCCAACACACATCACACCTCAGCGCAAGGGTGATTTGAAGGACCACCCCTTCACAACAAGTGTGGGGTGAATGACACGGCTGCACCTCGCGCACAGGCAAGGGTGTCTGAAGGCCATCTCACAACCGTGTGGCGAAAGGAACATCTGGACCAGATAGGTCACAAAGCTGCCGCATTCCACTCCTACCTTTTGAACTTGGAAACCCCGCCGCGTGCCTGAAAACCCTTCCTCGGCCACGCCTCCTAGCGTTCTCGGCGTGTCGGGGGTAGGGCTCGATCTCTCCGCCCCCGTCGGCGCGTCTGGTGTCGTTTCAGACCCTGGCGGCGTCGCCGCGGCGGTACCGGACATCTGCTAGAGAACCACGGGCCGGGGTAGAGAGTGAACCAGGGCCAGTGCAGACATCTGCAGAGCCCGTGACACGGGAAAACCGCCGACTGGTGCTGATGCACGCGCTGTCGAAAAGTTTATCGCGTTTCAACCATTGTTTTTATCAGCCCTGGTTGGTGGTCCAGGCGCCGGAGCTACACGCGAGCAACGTCGCGCATACAAAAAAAAAAAGAGAACAGCCCGTCGCCACCATCTCGACATGCAGCAACAGCGGTGGCTTGCACTAACCTGTCCTGGACGTGAGTTTCTCACCTGCCGCCCGTGCTGTGCACGTGGGTCAAACTAAAAGCTCTCCTCGTTAATGGAATTCTTCGCAAGTTACCGCTATTTCTTCGCACGCGATACAGCATGTTCATCTGCTGATTAAGCAACACTTCTGTCGAGTGGTATATGGGCTGCAGGCTGCATCCGGGTATATTCCGCGGAGGGTTCCCCGTTGGAACCAAACTACTGTATATGCACACGAGTCACGGGGTTTGTGCAACAGCTGTTCCAATATTGGATGGGTTCCCGAACCAACACCTACCGTCCGAGCAAAGTCGAGTATTCTGCCAAGTGATCGTCCGGCGCAAAATGTGGTGTCTCTGACGGCAATTCAAGTCGACGCTACATGTTCGTTCACGTTCGTGGTGCTCAACAGCTAAACAACAAGATCGCACGGGACGCCAGTACGTGCGCATCGCCCCCATTTGTCCTTGGGGTACACACGCGGGGGGATGACCTCGGCGCTGCGGAAACTGAAGCACATATATTACCACCAACACCACGTGATTTTGCGTGTAGCCTTAGGGCTATCTCCAAACCTCAATATATCTGCAAATGTGCGTAATCTGACTGCCCACACGTGTTGTCTGCTACTGGTGCGTCCGGTGCTCTCACGAACCGTTTGGAGGCGCCGTGGGTTGCTGTGCGAACAGCGGGGCGTATCGCAACGGAACCTCTGTTTCTCCGGTTCGAGGCGTCATATAGTTGTCTCGACTTGCGTGTGGTCAAAATGAAGCTTCGGGCACCTCGATCTCGCCATGCACGCAATCTTGCAATGAGACATGCATGGTCCTAATGCGCGTTTTATCCCTCGACCCCGTACACACAGAGTAGATACCTCCATGCTGTAGATCTGCTGAAGTTCTGTTGCTCTATATGCTGTGAAGGGGAAAATGTTCAAGTAGCTGCCCTTCACAAGATAGGGGGATTTCAATACCGACAGATCAATACCGATAGACCCGCGTTCGAAAATCGTCGCCAAACCTGAACCTCCTCTATGTCATCCACCCGTTCCCTGGGTCGTGGAACTATCGAGCTTCATGATACATCTTAGACAACCCTTGGGTATCGCCATCATCGTGACTGCTGCCGAATGCGGAGCAACCAAAACGTTACAACATGTAGACAGCAACACAGCTAAGCGCCACCTACCGCTTCTGCTGCTGAGGCCTCGGCTGCGGAAGCCCCTACCGAAGAACTCATCCAACTGCCCCCTCCGGTACGTCTCCCAACTCTGCCGCCCCGCCTGTTGTCAACACCGCTGGTAGGGGGCGCCGGCTTCGTCAACGCGCTCGCACGAGCCACCGCGCTAGGGAGTACAGCGAAGGCTTCCCCACCGAGAAAAGGAGCAAGTGACAACGCTAACGCGAGCAGGAGGGACCCGAAACAGTAGTCGGAGCGGGATTTAAACCTTCGCTGTCCCGCCATCCTCTCCCTGCTGGTGGCAGAACAAGAACGATGGAGATACAGCACTGCAATTTACACATGGGCAAGCACGTGTGTGATTGTATGCAGATGCGGTGATTCGTGTGCAGTGTTGGAGGTTGCTCATGTATTGTGAGAGTCTGGTTCAAATCACAACAGCTACCAAACACGCCAGCAATCCATACGAACATATGTCAACCACCACACACCTGATATGTCTGGGTTTCTCTCTCTCTCCTGCCTGCTCCTCACTGTCCTGTCAAGGACAGGGTGCTGCATCTGGATGCAACGCGAGCCGGTGCTCCGTGAGATGAAAACTGAGATCGGTTCGAGATTCATGGGTACCAAACGATTAGTGCATTCTCAGCATTTGTCCCCCTAAGGAGCACGCCTTGGGCGGAGCCTTGCAGCGCCATTTCGAGGAAAGAAACAGAGGGGCGTAAGCTGTGCGTGCTTCCCACAAAAGAGAGGGGGGGGCTTGGAAAGCTCCGGAAGACGCTGTTCAGCAGGTGAGGTGATCCGGTCGGTCGCATTTTGAGTAGAACGGGACATATCTCTCTTGTGCGACCCCGTTCATAGGCAAGCTAACTCCGTACGTTGGGAGCTACACACACGCGGGCATCCAGGGTATCAACGCGCCGGCAGCAGCTGGCAGAGGGAGGGAAATAGCCTGAAATTAGCGCGCTACTTGGCCACTACCGTGATAACCTAACATGCTGTGCAGCTGGAACGGGCACTCAAAGCCGCGTCTCCCTCGCTCTACCGCAGAACCCTGTTACTTGTTCTCGAATCATCCAAAAGAGACGAACAGAAAAACTTGAGTGACGATGACCCAACCCACGTTCACAGCCAAAGGTTTTAGGTTTGGTGGCCCATCTGCTGCTTCTTGCGTCTTCGCTGAGCCCTGTCCTCGACGCCCGGTGTAACCTGCACCCCCAATCACACTCCAGAGTTTGCTGTGCCCCCTGGCAGAACCATCACGAAACATCGACGATTGCAATCGTCCACCCGTACCTATTATAGTACCGTGGTAGCACGGAGCACGGAAGAAGCCGACCCCTTTCTGCCCGCCGCACCCCTTGTCTCCTCGCCCTTCCCGGCAGAAGGACTATCTAGTGATCTCAGCAGCAATGGTTTCCGTATCCGATAGATCTGCCCGCTGTTCTCTTGGTCGTACGCATGCTCGCACGCATGTATCGTTGGGGTAACAACCGCAGAACCCACGTGGGGGTACCGTCGGGAACTTCTGTGCTTCTTGTAGTTATCCCACGTGTCCGTTACCCCCGAACCGCACGTGACGGCGGAGGCTGTAGACCGCTCTCAACGTTGGCATAGTCCCGCCCTGTCCAACGCTCCTCTGTTCTAATCAACAGGGTTGATTTCGCTGTCTGACGCTGATGATGACATGTGATGTTGGGACACGCTGATGACAACTGATGATGGGATGTATTCCCTTGATTGCCTCCGCTTGGTTTACCCGCGAGGCACGGCATGATGGTAAGATCAAAGTCGAGCCACGAGCACCCCCTCCCCACCTGGCTGGCGCCCACGATATCGCCTCGTACGCAATCCCTTTCAACAAGTTGTCCTGAAAATGGGATACCATAAATGACGTCTCCGGAGCTATTATCCGCACGCAAGAGCGAGGATAAGTTGTTCTGCCGTGAAGCGAGATGCAGACCCACCCTTGTCGGAAACCAAGTCAACACCGGCTTTTCGGAGGGTGTACAAGTAGACAGCAGTGTGCGGTGTCAGTGCGCCCCCCCCACACTCACCGCTTGAGGATTGAGTGCATCTGTGCAGGCGCATTGTAGATAGTTGTTGCCTCAACACCGAGTGGCGATATGAACCGTTCGTAGAGCAAAGTGTCCCCTCCTGGTGTGCATGCGGGCAGATGATGTCTTCCCCACCAACACCACCGACACACGCGCGTAGCAGGGACGTTTAACATATGAAAGAAGGCACCTGGTCGCCTCTTGGCCTTGGAGCTAGCAGTCTTTGTCGCCATGCTTAGCATAAACGCGGCATGGGGCGCACGGGGTGGCATTGGCCGTGCCCGAATGACACAATCGCGTAGTGTTTGAAGGAGGGCTTCAACAACCACCACCCCTTTGGACACTGCACCATGCATCCAGCACAGCAATCTTTGCGTTATGTGCCCGCTCGCTGGTTCACTTTCACAGCTTTTTACGCCCAAATTAGAGCTGTTGGCAGGCAGACGATAATTACTCGTGGGGGCGGGGGGTTATGCAAAGTTTGTCGGTTAACGATAAACCAACGCTCAGACATGTTGCTGTTGGGACACAAAGCCGGTCATCTTGAGCCGTCGTCCAGTACCGCAACGCTGACGTGAGGCTCCCCCGGGCGCCGCTCCAACCTTACTACCATGACTCCCCTGTCTGTTCTCCAGTAGGACCGGTAAAAGAAGGCGGATACACTTTTGGCGGTCGGGCCGGAGTTAGCCGGGCGACAAAACAGCCAGGCAGAACCAGCGGTTGACTGGAGCCACGGCGATAGAGGCGCCTTTTCGGCCGGCTGCCACCGCGAGAGCTTTTGGCGTGTGGAGAGACAGAGGGAGAAGCCAGAGTGACACGCACCGCCGAACGTTTCCCTCTTGTTTGGCCGGGGGGAGGGGGGGGGGGGGGGGGGGG